ATAATGTTGACGAAGGGAGAAACGAACGTCGATATGAGCTCCTTTCCAAAGAAGATGGTTTATTACAGATTATAGGAAATGGAGGAAGCGATACTTGAGACAGGATAGATGATTTTGGAGGAGTATTTGATGGAGTGACAGATACTGATGGAGAGGAAGAAAAAGGCGAACGCGATAATGAACGACGATTCGAAATTGTTGAAGATGAACCTTCATCATCACTACTGACTCTGTTTAAGGGAGATCGAGCTAAGAAATTAGGAAATAAATTAGGAAATAAATTAGAAAATAAATTATTAATAAATAATTAAGAAATCAATCAGCACACATAATAATAAATTTTAATGCTTACATTTCCTTGATTCACCCTTAGAAGAACCAAAACGACTATGATACCTTGATTTCATATATAGTACGGCGGAAAAATTAGAAAATCTCCCACGTCCCCTTGATTCATGACTTAAGTCACTAGAAGTCCTCCTATGACTTGAAAGTTTATCTGAATCTACATCACTACCAATACTTTGCAAACATAAAGAATCCGAAGAAAAATCATCAGATCTAATTTCTTGACTAAGATGACGTTCTTTAATGAACAAACGATGCCTTATTGATAGCCTTAAGAGCATCGAAAAAACATCATGAATCCTTTGTATTCCTAGATTTGTTCTCGTATCTAATTCCACAAAACCAACATCAAATAGAGGTGCCAATTTTGCACCATATTCAGTATCAACTTGACGTTTTAAAGGCTCACAATCGGCCTTACAAGCTACAAGTATTGTAGGAATTTGGAATTCTTTAAAGGCATCTATTAAATTTAAAAACAAATATATTAATAAAATAGTTATAAAATAGTCATATGTTAAAATATAAAAAGTAAATAAGTAAATTAAAACACATACTTAGAAGCCATGCTATATTTGCTATCGAAGCTCGTGAGGTCACATCGTAGCATACTAAAATTCCATCTATATCGGGAAGTTCCTATAATATAAAATCAGAAATAAATAATCATATATATATATATATACCAGTATGTATAATATAATATAATCACTATAATTTACCTTTGGCCATCGTAAAGGAGCTTTCATATCAAAAACATTTTCTTGAATTTCTAAAACTTCTACTGGGTACGCATGCTCATCAACTTCTATCTCTGTTATAAGTGTCGGAACTAAAAATTATTTAGCTCAACATTAATAATTATAATAACGTAATTAATA